CCCCAAAACCCCAAAACCCCAAAACCCCAAAACCCCAAAACCCCAAAACCCCTGCAATAATTATTTTAAATGAAATTAGTTGTTTTATGATAAAAATGAACAACTCTAGGCTACACAGAATTCGGGTCCCTAGTGGCAGAGAAAGCCTTGATCTTTCTATGAACAATACTCTCAAGTCACGGATTTTTAAAACTGGCAAACATCATAGAGTGTTCGGATATCATCAAGATACACAGCTTCCGTATAAAGCAAGAGCTGATAGTAGAAGGACTAATAATGAACAGGATGATGTTATCTCACAAACTCCTAGCTTAGTAAGTGAAATAGTCAAAACAAATGGCATACCTTCTCCACTGAAATGGACTGTGAAAAGCAGGCGTCTAGCAAGAAAATAATTCAGCTCAACAACAATCAGAGTACTTACCTCAAGTGCATGATTACCATGAGAGAAGAAAGAATTCACAAAGCATGTCTGTTGATACTAGTGGAAGAAGAAGAGACCCATTAGATGTGAATGACATAGAAGGAGCTAGGCCTCTTCCCAACTCTTATATTGGCAAATAAGCTCTTCATGAAAGATGAGTATGAAAGGAACATTGGCATGAGCTCACTCCCTAACTCAGGAAAAATTACTCCATTAAAAATGGACAGATCTTACGATAGTAAGCGGTACATGAGAGTTGATGATATTGATGTTAAGAGGCGAGGCAAGATAATTGTTCCTGTCTCTATTCCTCAGGGGCTAAAGAAGGATAGTAATATGATTGAGTACAAAGGCATTCCTAAACAGAGAAAACTTCTAGCACAACAAGGAAGATTACCTTTCACTCGTAGATATACGAAGGAAAAGTATGGAAATGAACAACCTTATAATAACCTATCACTATTACATCACGAAAACCAGACAGAAAGGGATATTGACCCAGAAATGAGGAGCAGGAGATTTAAAGCCGAATTAAGAAGGGCTGAAAGTACGAGCACTTATAATTCCCAATCAGTTAGATCAATAAAGCCAATGGAACATCCACCTTCTAGCCATCATAGTCAAATAATGCAGTCGCCTTCTTTAATTAAGCCAATAAAAAACCCTAAGCAAAGTAGAAGGCTTGTTCTAAAAGAAAGCAGTAGGAGGATATCTCCTTCCAAGAGAAAGTTCATTGTCAACACGAGGGACCTCAGGAGGTTGCCACCTCCTCCTGAAGGATATGAATATTTCGAAGAAGTTTCTGAAGAGGAGTCTGAAGAAGAAACATAAAATGTAATAGAAAAATTTCAATGTTTGTAAGAGCTATTGGGGTTTTGGGGTTTTGGGGTTTTGGGGTTTTGGGG